ACCACAGGCCAGCCAGGAGCTGGATGCCGCTTTTAAGGTGGGCTTCACCTCAATCGTGCAATGTACATAGCTGCTGTCAATTCTAAGCAAACAGCACTGGTGAATTTCGTTTGGCGCCTAGAGAAAAAGCCTTAAAGTTTGATCTGACCCTTTCCTTGTGGGACCTTGGCATGGAACCTTCGTCGGAGCTCTTGCCGTCGGTTGCCCATTTTTCCGGAGATTGTTTGATTTCCGTTATCGGCGTCTCTGTGGACTTGGGATGAACTGCGTTGATTTCTGTAAGGGCGATGGATAGTATCCTTGCGTCTGCGTGTGACTGAAAGGGTGTAATAGGGCTAAATGTCCAAGTTGTATCTATTCCTAGCTAATAACCTCCTTGATGATCTATCTCGCAGTTCGGCACTGTCGCTGCTCTGTCGACCGTGGCCTCGACCTGGATGATGGCCGGCAACGCAAACGCCGCGACTGAACTTGCAACTCTGGCTGCCAACGACAACCGCCTGGGCATCATTGCAACCCTGTTTGTTCCTGCTCTGGGCTGGGTGGCCTTCAACATTCTGGGCGGTCTGCAGGCGCAGCTGGACCAGATGAGCGCTAAGAGCGACCCCAAGCGCAAGCGAGCTGTGCCAGCTGCGATTGGCCTGGGAGCCGCTGCCACGCTGCTGGCTGCACAGTCTGCAGAGGCTTCGACTGAGCTCGCAACTCTGGCTGCTAACGACAACCGCCTGGGCATCATCGCAACCCTGTTTGTTCCTGCCCTGGGCTGGGTGGCCTTCAACATTCTGGGCGGTCTGCAGGCGCAGCTGGACCAGATGAGCGTTAAGAATGGTCCTGCCCGCAAGCGGGCCGTGCCGGCTGCCATTGGCCTGGGAGCCGCTGCCACGCTGCTGGCTGCACAGTCTGCGGAGGCTTCGACTGAGCTCGCAACTCTGGCTGCCAACGACAACCGCCTGGGCATCATTGCAACCCTGTTTGTCCCTGCCCTGGGCTGGGTGGCCTTCAACATTCTGGGCGGTCTGCAGGCGCAGCTGGACCAGATGAGCGCTAAGAGCGANCCC